TCATCTTCGACCTTGATTTTTTATTGGTACCGATTATGCACATCAACCCAAGTAATAGCCGGGTACTCTTTCATATTCTGTTTCAACTACTGTGAAGCCACCGAGCTTCGAACATTGAGCCCTTGGGTAATGGCTTGAACGACCCAATCATCAGCGACCGATGGTAGGTCCATCCATTCCATTTGGAATCGAGACACGAATTCTCTAAACATTTCATTGTCCTTATGCCTTACCTTGAAAAAGTTCGACTTCCTGGTCTCGACCTTGATGGCCCCGACGTGTGCATTTACGAAAGAATCTGCAAGCATCACAAAAGAGTTAATAGAATTAGGTGGTAAATTGTGATACCATATCATGTCTCCCTTTGAGAGGGTCTCTCCAAATTTCTTTAATAAGACTAATTCGATTTTATCATCCTCTAGATCATTCCCTTTGATGGCATATGTGTAAGAGGTGATATGCTTGTTCGGGTCGGTCGTTCTATTGTACTTAGTGTAACGACCCGACCAGTCGTTTTGCTTTCTAGAATCCCGTTCCCCTAAATAAGACTCCCCGTATATGCTTTTACTGATTTATGACTTGCGGGGGTGGTTAGTTCGGGATTTGGAATGGTTTGGGTTGAAATCGGAATACTTGGTTCCTTAAGGTTGGCTTAAAAGCTCAAGTTTGACTTCGGTCAACATTTTGAGTGAACGACCTCGGAATCGGGATTTGGCGTTTCTAATATGTTCGTATGATGATTTCAGACTTGGGCGTATGTTTGGATCGGGTTTTGGATGACCCGGGAGCGTTTCGGCGCCTAAAAACCACTAGGTTTATCAATGTTGGCTTGCCTAATAACGATGTTGGGCACCATCACGGCCTATGATGAAATTGGGTCGTGACAACATGTGGCCTTGTGGGCGCAGAGTCATGGTTATGGCATGGACTTAGGTGAGATACATTCTATACTATGATCCGCAGCCGGCAGAGTCTTCTTCAAAGTACTTACATTTTTTCTGTCCAATTTGTATTCCCGATAGCTGTTGTATTTTATTTTATATTCCTAGTTAATGCTCATGCACTTGTGACACCAGGTTCTGGGATGATTATGGGTTGTTCTGTATTAAATTTGTTAAAAATATTATTATTTATTCTGCAAATTCCACCTTTTGCTATTTAATTGAAGGAAAATATGATTTCAAAAATATTAAAACGAGAATCCAATTAAGTATTTATTGTTGTCTTGCCTGACAGTGGTGCCCGGCGCCATCACGACCCTTTATGGATTTTGGGTCATGACAACATGATGTAACGACCCGATCGGTCATTTTGTTTTCTAGAACCATGTTCCTCTAAATAAAACTTCACGTACATGCTTTTACTGATTTATGACTAGCGGGGGTGGTTAGTTCGGGATTTGGAAGGGTTCGGGTTGAAATCGGAACACTTGGTTCCTTAAGGTTGGTTTGAAAGGACAAGTTTGACTTCGGATAACATTTTAAGTAAACAACCTCGAAATCAGGATTTCGCGGTTCTAATGGGTTTGTATGTTGATTTCGGACTTGGAAGTATGTTCGGATCAAGTTTTGGATAATCCGGGCGCGTTTCAGATCCTAATAGTAGAAGTTGGTTCTTGAAGGTTTTGAAAAGTTCTTTAAATTTGGTTGGGAGAGGGTTTTGGTGATATCGAGGTCCAAACGAAATTCTGAGATCGAGAATAGTTCCGTAATGTCATTTAAGACTTGCACATAAAATTTTGTGTCATTTCGAGTAGTTTTAGTACGTTTCGACGCGTTGGAAGTAAATTGAAGAACTTGAAGTTCTTAAGTTTGATTCAATTGGTTTTGGGGTGCGATTCTTAGTTCCGTTATTGATTTTCGCATTTCAAGAGTTCGAGCAAGTCCGTATCATATTTTCAGACTTGTTGGTGCCTTTGGGGTACCGAGGGGCTCGGGTGAGTTTCGGACCCCTCGGAGCTAAGTGTGAAAAACCAAAAAATTCCAATTCTGGTTTCCTTCTTCGCGAACACGAAAGGACTCTCGCGTTCGCGTAGAAGGAACTAGGGGATGTGAAATTTTGTGCTACGCGATAGCTAGTCCGCGTTCGCGAAGGTCTGGGACCTGTGACCTTCGCGTTCGCGTGAGGCGACTCGTGTTCGCGTAGAGTACCCTGGGCTGTGCTTGGGCCGCTAATTGTTCTTCGCGTTCGCGGAGAAACCCTCGCATACGTGAAGGGTAGGCCAACTGGGCAGTACCCATTTTCCTTCGCGAACGCGAGGTCCCTTCCGCGTTCGCGATGAAGGAGGGCAGCTGGGCAGTAAGTTTAAAATCGAGACTTAGGTATTTTTGGGGCCATTTATTTCACCCTTGGGCGATTAGAGAGCATTTAAGGAGGGGATTTCGACCTAGCCTTGTGAGTTTGGATTAATTCGGCACCGACTTGAGGGAGTGAGCGCATTTTGGAACCGGGAAGTAGACTTTGAGACGAGGTAAGTCTCTTTTCTAACCTTGTAAGAGGGAATTAACCCCATAGGTGAACTTAATAAATATGTACTTCTATTTGTGGGGGATACGTACGCACGATGTGACGAGAGTCCGTGCGTAGCTACTATTCATGCTTATGTCCGGGTAGATTTAGGCTTACACCATACTTTGTTAATACCGTTGCTTGTTTATGCTTACTAGTTGTTGGATTAAAGTGAAAGTTGAAGGTCTCAATATTTAAAGCCCCAAGTTAAATTTCTTATTTTTAGAAAGGAATTGAGAAATACTACGATAAATTGAGAAATTATATGTTCAACCGCTTCGCAAATATATTCCGCGTGCGGGGTAAACTTCCACTATTCTCATGGGAGCGGACCGTTCGCCTCGGCAGGATTTGTTGATATATTATATGGTTCGGGTCGTTCGACCCTCGGCAGTGCACAATATATTATTATGTATATTTGGATCGGGACGTACGTCCTCGGCATAACTCGTGCGTAGTGATACCGAAATCCCTTGTTATATTTAATAATGTTTCACGGACTTGAAAGGTGAAAGGAATAGATGAGAGAAATGGTTGATTCTTACATGAAAGAAGGATTTGCTTGCTTACTTCTTGTTTTGAGCGCTATCATTATTGTATATTACCTACTTCTTACTTGAAAGAAGGTTGATTCTTAGACTGGATACTTACTGTGTACACGTTGTTTATGTACTCACTCTACACTTCTGCACTTAATGTGCAGGATCTGAGGCAGGTGCATCTGGTTACCAATCTGGCACGCACGTTTGACTTCTAGCTCGAGACTACACGGTGAACTTCCCTTTCGAGTCGTTCAGCAGTAGCCGGAGTTTGGATTTATATTTCTGTCTATTTTCTTGAGACAGTAGACTAGTATTGTTTTTGTATATTCTGCTAGTAGCCCACACACTTGTGACACCGGGTATTAGCACACACTAGTAGACTTATAATTTTGGAATTATTATTGTAACTTCGATTTGCACTCAGTTGCCTTGTTTTAATTACCTTACAGCAGCAAATTTCTAAATCCTTTATAAATACGGTAAGACTATTAGTTTGCAAACATATTAAAAGTGGAAAGCACTAGGTCTATCAGTGTTGGCTTGTCTAACAACGGTGTTGGGCGCCATCACGGCCTATGATGAAATTGGATCGTGACAACATGGTATCAGAGCACTAGGTACACGTAGGTCTCACAAGTTATGGGCAAGCCTGATAGGGTTTTGCAGATCGGTGCGGAGACGTCCGTACTTATCTTCGAGAGGCTATAGAGTGTTAGGAAACTGCTCTTTATTCATCTACTATCGTGCAGTAGATGGTGTACTAAGTTTATTCCTCTTATTCTCTCACAGATGGTGAGAACGCGCGCAACAAACGTTCCAGACCCAAGAGGGGCTGCTCCCCCTATGGCTAGAGGCCGAGGCAGAGGTCAGGGGAGGGCACCTACCCGAGGTAGGGGACGGGGATGTCCCAGAGTTTCCCCAGTTATACCATCAACGGATCCAGTAGAGGATCTCATTGTTGAGGAGCAGGGCGGGGTGCCCGCCGCAGAGCCAGCCCCGGTAGATTTCACGTCAGCACTGGGCTTTCAGGAGGTCATGGGCCGTATACTGCGGTTCATGAATTCTATGACCTAGGCTGCTTTATTTCCAGTAGACCCAGCCACATCTCAGGCGGAAGGGGGAGCACAGACCCCTACTGCTCAGGCATCTAGGCATGCAGCTGCCGTATATCATACCCCAGGTACACTACCCACGGGCGGGCCCTGGCCAGTTGCAGCGGTTGTACCTGAGCCTAGACCAGCTGCGGCCGGCGAGCCGCAGAAGCTCTTGGACATATGGACTAGGCTTCACCCTCCGGTCTTTTGGGGTGAGCGACATGAGGAGACTCAGGACTTTATTGATAGGTGCAAGGACAGACTGCACAACATGAGCATATTAGAGTCTCACGGGGTGGATTTCACTACCTTTCAGTTGGAGGGCAGCGCACGTAGGTGGTGGAAGGCTTACCTTCTTGGCAGACTAGTAGATTCTTCTCCCATAACTTGGGACCAGTTCACCAACCTATTTTTGGACAGGTATATCCCAACCTCCCAGAGGGAAGAGTTGCGGTGTCAATTCGAGTGGCTCGAGCAGGGTCAGATGTCAGTGATCGATTATGATGCCAGATTCTCTGAGTTGTCTCGCCGTGCACTTATGATACTTCCTACTGAGGCGGAGCGAGTGCAGAGGTTTGTTGCGGGGTTGCACTCAGGTATTCAGGCTACTATGGCCCGAGAGGTTGAGATGAGGACTTCTTATCAGTTGGTAGTGGAGATTGCTCGGAGGATTGAGGGTTACCGTCAGAGGGGTAGAGAGCAGATGCAGCGGGACAAAAGGTCCCATTTTTCTGGAGAGTTCAGAGGTGCCCTAACTGAGGGCATAGGTCATTTTGGAAGGGGTCAGCCAAGTAGGCCCCCACATCCGTCACCACCACCTCCTCGGGGTATTTCGACGTGACCCTATTTCAGTGCTATGCTGGAGAGTTCTTACCGTCCGCCAGCTATTCAGGGTTCTTTTAGTGGGTACTCCGGTCATCAGGCTTCTTCCAGTGCCTACTTCAGTGCCATGCCAGAGAGTTCATATCTCCCACCAGCTATCCAGGGTCCTTTCGGTGGGTATTCAGACCATCAAGGTCAGATTTCAGGGCAACAGTCCACCGCCCCGAGAGGTTGTTATGAGTGCGGGGATCTTAGTCACATGAAGAGGCATTGCCCCAATCTTCGGGGCAAGGCAGTACAGCAGGGTCAGCAACCTATGATTATAGCTCCAGTAGCCGCACTAGCTGTCCGGCCACCTAGAGGCAGGGGGCAGGTAGGTAGGGGTCATCCTAAAGGTGGAGGTTAAGCAGGCGGAGGCCAGCCAGGCGGCGCTCCAGCCAGATTTTATGCTTTTCTGGCCAGACCAGATGCAGTGGCCTCAGATGCCATGATCACAGGTATTATTTCTATCTGCGGTAGGGAAGCTTCAGTATTATTTGATCCAGGGTCTACCTATTCATATGTATTATCTCTGTTTACTCATTTTCTGGATATTCCTCGTGAGTCCTTGGGTACTCCTGTTTATGTGTCCACTCCCGTGGGCAATTCTGTTGTTGTGGATCGGGTCTATCGGTCCTGTGTGGTCATATTCTGTAGGTATGAGACTAGAGAGGATCTTCTGTTGCTTGATATGACCGACTTTGAGGTCATCCTGGGCATGGATTGGCTATCCCCATATCACTCCATCCTTGATTGCCATGCCATGACTGTTACCTTAGTGATGCCAGAGTTTCCTAGATTGGAGTGGAAGGGTTCGTCTGTCAATACATCTAGTTAGGTTATCTCTTTTATGAAGGCTCGACATATGGTTGAGAAGGGTTGTTTGGCTTATCTAGCCTATGTTCGGGATACTACTGTAGAGTCTCCGGCGATTGATTCAGTACCAGTAGTCTGGGAGTTCTCTGCCTTCTGATCTTCCAGGCATGCCACCAGATCGTGATATCGAATTCAGTATTGACTTGGCTCGAGGTACCTGACCTATATCTATCCTACCGTATCGTATGGCTCCGAAGGAATTGAAGGAGTTGAAGGAATAACTTGAGGAGTTGCTAGCCAAGGGGTTCGTTAGACCTAGAGTATCACCTTGGGGTGCACCATTATTATTTGTGAAGAAGAAAGATGGGACTATGAGGAAGTGCATTGATTACCGCCAGTTGAACAAGTTCACCATTAAGAACAAGTACCTATTGCCGCGTATTGATGATTTGTTTGACCAATTGCAGGGTGCTAGGGTGTTCTCCAAGATCGACTTGAGATCAGGGTACCATCAGTTGAAGATTCGGGACTCAGATATTCCGAAGACTGCCTTCCGTACTAGATATGGCCATTATGAGTTTCTACTGATGTCCTTCGGCTTGACTAATGCTCCAACAACATTTATGGATTTGATGAACAGGCTGTTCATGCCTCATATCAATTCCTTTGTTATTGTCTTTATTGATGACATCTTGATTTACTCACGTAGCATGGAGGAGCACGAGCAACATTTGAGAGTGGTGATTTAGACCTTGAGGGAACAGAAGCTATATGCTAAGTTCTCCAAATGTGAGTTTTGGTTAGATTATGTGGCATTCTTGGGGCATGTTGTATCAGGCGAGGGAATTAAAGTGGATCCCAAGAAGATTAAGGCAGTTCAGAGTTGGCCTCGTCCCACTTTGGCGACTGAGATCAGAAGCTTCTTGGGGTTAGCAGGTATTATCGCCGGTTCGTGGAGGGATTCTCATCTATTGTAGCACCTTTGACTAGATTGACCCAGAAGGGTGCTCCGTTCTGTGTGACCGATGATTGTGAGGCGAGCTTTCAGAAGCTGAAGACAGCTTTGACTACAACACCAGTTCTAGTGTTGCCTTCCGGTTCGGGGATGTACACTATGTATTTCGACACTTCACACGTTGTCTTGGATTGTGTATTGATGCAGGAGGGGCAAATTATTGCATATGCTTCACGTCAGCTGAAGCTCCATGAGAAGAATTATCCTATGCACGATTTGGAGTTGGCCGCGATTGTTCATGCTATTAAGATTTGGAGGCATAATCTATATGAGGTGCCTTGTGAGGTTTACACTGATCACCGCAGTTTGCAGCACTTGTTCCAGCAAAGGGATCTCAATTTGAGGCAGCGCAGATGGCTTGAGTTACTACAGGACTATGACATCACTATTATTTATCATCCGGTCAAGGCGAATGTAGTTGCAGATGCCTTGAGCAGAAAGGCAGAGAGTATGGGTAGCTTGGCATTCATTTCAGCAGAGGAGAGGCCACTAGCTTCGGACATTCAGTCCTTGGCTAATAGACTTGTGAGGTTTGATATTTCAGAGTCCAGCTGAGTCCTTGCATGTGTTGTTGCCCAGTCTCCACTATTAGAGCAGATCAAGGCTCGACAGTTTGATAATCTGTACTTGGCAGTTCTTAGAGAGACGGTACTACATGGTGGTGCCAAGGAGGTTTCTATTGGCGAGGATGGTGTCCTGCGCATCCAGGGTCGTCTATGTGTTCCTAAGGTCGATGGCTTAAGGGAGAGGATTCTAGATGAGGCGCACAATTCTTGGTATTCTATTCATACAGGTGCTACAAAGATGCATCGGGACCTAAGGCAACACTATTGGTGGCGGCGGATGAAGAAAGACATAGTTGAGTATGTAGCTAGGTGCCTAAATTGCCAGCAGGTTAAGTATGAGCACCAGAGGTCGGGTGGCTTACTCCACCAGATAACTATACCAGAGTGGAAATGGGAGTGCATTACTATGGACTTCGTAGTTGGGTTGCCATGGACCTTGCGGAAGTTCGATACAGTTTGGGTCATTGTTGACAGGTTAACAAAGTCAGCACGCTTCATTCCAGTTGCAACTACTTATACTTCAGATAGGTTGGCCCAGGTTTATATTCAGGAGATAGTTCGGTTGCACGGTGTGCCTATTTCTATCATATCAGACAGAGACCCTCAGTTTACTTCGCATTTCTTGAGAGTCGTACAGGGTGAGTTGGGGACCCGTGTAGAGCTCAGCACTACGTTTCATCCACAGACCGACGGGCAGTCACAGCGGACAGTTCTGATCTTGGAAGACATGCTCAGAGCATGTGTGATTGACTTTGGGGGACAGTGGGATCAGTTCTTGCCTTTGGCCGAGTTTTCTTACAACAACATCTATCAATCTAGCATCGAGATGGCTCCATTTGAGGCTTTATATGGTCGGCGATGTCGTTCTCCTATCGGTTAGTTTGAGCCCGGCGAGGCTAAGTTATATGGTACCGATTTGGTGAAGGATGCCTTGGGAAGGGTAACGTTGATTCAGAAGCGACTTCGTGTAGCACAGTCCAGACAAAAGAGTTACGCAGATCAGAAGGCGCGTGATGTGTCACTTATGGTGGGCGAGAAGGTTCTCTTGAAAGTCTCATCGATGAAAGGGATCATGAGGTTTGGGAAGAAGGGCACGTTGAGTCCAAGGTTTATAGGTCCATTTGAGGTGTTGAGGCGAGTCGAGGAGGTTGCTTATGAGCTTGCTTTGCCTCCCAATATATCGGGAGTTCATCCTGTTTTCCACATGTCTATGCTACAGAGGTATCATCCCGACTTGTCGCATATGTTAGACTTCAGCACGATTCAGTTAGATGAGAGTCTGGGTTGCGAAGAGGAGCCAGTTGCCACAGTTGATAGGCAGGATCGCCAGTTGAGATCCAAGAGAATTTTCGCGGTAAAGGTCCAGTGGAGGGGCCAACTAGTCGAGGAGGCGACCTAGGAGTCTAAGGAGGACATGCAGAGCAGATATCCACATTTATCCAGCACTTCAGGTACGATTCTAAACACGTTCGAGGACGAACGTTTGTTTAAGAGGTGGAGAATGTAATGACCTGACTGGTCGTTTTGCTTTCTAGAACCTCATTCCCCTAAATAAGACTTCTTGTAAATGCTTTTACTTATTTATGACTTGCGGGGGTGGTTAATTCGGTATTTGGAAGGGTTCGGGTTGAAATCGGAACACTTGGTTCCTTAAGGTTGGCTTAAAAGGCCAAGTTTCACTTCGGTCAACATTTTGAGTAAACGACCTCAGAATCAGGATTTGGCGGTTCCAAAAGGTTTGTTTGATGATTTCGGACTTGGGCATATATTCAGATTAGGTTTTGGATGACCCGGGAGCGTTTCGGCGCCTAATAGTGGAAGTTGGTTCTTGAAGGTTTTAAAATGTTCTTTAAATTTGGTTTGGAGCGGGTTTTGGTGATATCGAGGTCCAAACAGAATTTCGAGACTGGGAATAGTCTGTAATATCATTTAAGACTTGCACGTAAAATTTGGTGTCATTCCGAGTAGTTTTAGTATGTTTCGGTGAGTTGGAAGTAAATTGAAGAATTTGAAGCTCTTAAGTTTGATTTAATTGGTTTTGGGGTGCGATTCTTAGTTCCGTTATTGATTTTTGCATTTCAAGAGTTCGAGCAAGTCCGTATCAGGTTTTCAGACTTGTTGGTGCCTTTGGATGGGGTCCCGAGGGGCTCGGGTGAGTTTCGGACCCCTCGGAGTTAAGTGTGAAAAACCAGAAAATTCCAATTCTAGTTTCCTTCTTCGCGAACGCGAAAGGACTCTCGCGTTCGCGTAGAAGGAACTGGGGGATGGGAAATTTTTTGCTACGCGTTCGCGATAGCTAGTTCGCGTTCGTGAAGGTCTGGGACCTGTGACCTTCGCATTCGCGTGAGGCGACTCGCGTTCGCGTAGAGTACCCTGGGCTGTTCTTGGGCCGCTAATTGTTCTTCACGTTCGCGGAGAAACCCTCGCGTACGCGAAGGGTAGGCCAAGTCAGCCTCCGTGTTTACGTAGAGTTGGTCGCGTTCGCGATGAGTCATCTCAGGGGCTAGAACCATTTTCCTTCGCGTTTGCGATGAAGGAGGGCAGCTGGGCAGTAAGTATAAAATCAGGACTTAGGTATTTTTGGGGCCATTTGTTTCACCCTTTGGCGATTAGAGAGCATTTAAGGAGGGGATTTCGACCTAGCCTTGTGAGTTTGGATTGATTCGGCACTGACTTGAGGGAGTGAGCGCATTCTGGAACCGGGAAGTAGACTTTGAGACGAGGTAAGTCTCTTTTCTAACCTTGTAAGAGGGAATTAACTCCATAGGTGAACTTAATAAAGATGTACTTCTATTTGTGGGGGATACGTACGCACGATGTGACGAGAGTTCGTACGTAGCTACTAGTCATGCTTATGTCCGGGTAGATTTAGGCTTACACCATGCTTTGTTGATACCGTTGCTTGTTTATGCTTACTAGTTGTTCGATTAAAGTGGAAGTTGAAGGTCTCAATATTTAAAGCCCCAAGTT